AACCAGAAGCCTTGACAGCTATCACACCGAGTTCCCACAGACGCAGTTGTGATAGATGAAGCCTACATTTATCAGGAAATCATTAGCTTGTAAAACATCTTTGCGACTACATGTCAAACACCATTAGAAAGGTCTAATCCTACCACTTATAAACATGAAAGTTATGTTTATCACATTTCTTAAATAATGCTTAATAAATAATTACTTGAACAAACTGCAGGCCATAAGGGCTTGCTGAAATTTAAAACTATCAGCCTGAGAACAAATCTGTCGGTCTCGGACCTACGGGCCAGCCGATGTCTATTTCAAACTGTGACCCAGTGCATCCTATAGCGTGTCCTTGTCACATGATCACCACTAAGAGCAGAAACTCCAGCATTACAACATCTACACTGGAATGGACACAAACCCTGGAGCGGAGTACCCCTTTAATAGCTCATTGAAGAAACAAGCATACCTGCACAACAGGAGAGACTAGACCCCCTACAACAAGTCTGACATAGCATTCTTCATCTCTTTAAAGTAATATCTCAAGACCCTAGAGCTGGAGGGAGAGAAATAGCTTGTGCTTGAGACAACAGGATCTTACTGACCAGCAAAGTGTAACACTCTCTGTCTTGTGTTACAGAGTCTCTGGGACAATATCTTCAGATGCAAAATGCTATACAAGATGTCTACATGGTTTTCAAGAAGAAATTTCTAATATTTGATCAGGAGCAAGTCTTTGATCCAAGTGATTTTGATGTCTTAAACAGCAAAAAGTTGCTGACAAAAGGTCAAATGTATTATTGACCACAAAAAGGGCCTTAGCTTAAATGTTAAAACAAAAATCAGGTTAAAGGTTAAAGGTTAAAGGTTAAAGGAAGCTTCCATTGTAAGGAACACAGCTTTTCACATTTGTTTTAATTCTAATTTTGTCATCCAAAAAACTATTTAGACAGACGAAAAATAGGACGAAAAATAGGACGAAAAACCTAATCTACATGATCAGTGCACACACAAGACTGTAAGAGAATTTTAACATATGCCTTGGATAAGAGCCTTCATACTAACAATCATGTAGATCCGCTTCATGTCAAAGATTTGTTCAAGTAAATCAAAGTAAACATTCAACATTCTCCATCCATCACTACACACAACAAGGGGACTTGATAAACATCCACATTCAACGTTCAATTGATGACGATGAGAAACAAAGTCTCCAAATATAAAAAACTAGATTTAGGAAAACATGAAATTCTCTCCTCCCTACAACAACACTGGCAATTTGTGAAGCTGAGCACTCAGTGTTAAAGCAGGTGATCCACCCGAGTGAACCCCTTCTTACTGTCATACGAAGCTCTGGTGTGGACACTCAGTGTTAAAGCAGGTGATCCACCCGAGTGAACCCCTTCTTACTGTCATACGAAGCTCTGGTGTGGACACTCAGTGTTAAAGCAGGTGATCCACCTGCGTGAACCCCTTCTTACTGTCATACAAAGCTCTGGTGTGGACACTGAGTAACAGGCACGCATAATCTCTACCAACACAATATGCTGCATAAACCATTGTTCATGTTGCTCAGGTCAGTGATAACAATATTATTTAGGAAACTATTTCTGTCATGAAATGATTCAAGGTCATGTGTGTCATGATTAGAGCCAATCAAAAATTACAAATTCATGAACATTGCATCTATGGTAGTTTTAGAATTGAAAGGGTCACTAGGCTCAAGCCTTCAGAATTGGCTGGCTTTTTCAAGGTGTTTCATGTTGAGCAGTGGGCAGGCTGACTGTCCTAAACATGACACAGCATGTCCACTCCTCCTACAGTGTCACGTCCCTCTCAGTTGCCTCAGCCAGCCAATCAGCTCCAAGCAGCTGATGAGCTCATGGGGGCAGTGTCACGTCCTCTCAGTTGCTTCAGCCAGCCAATCAGCTCCAAGCAGCTGATGAGCCCATGGGGGCAGTGTCACGTCCTGTCAGTTGCTTCAGCCAGCCAATCAGCTCCAAGCAGCTGATGAGCTCATGGGGGCAGTGTCACGTCCTCTCAGTTGCTTCAGCCAGCCAATCAGCTTCAAGCAGCTGATGAGCCCATGGGGGCAGTGTCACGTCCTCTCAGTTGCTTCAGCCAGCCAATCAACTCAGCTGATGAGCCCATGGGGGCAGTGTCACGTCCTCTCAGTTGCTTCAGCCAGCCAATCAGCTCCAAGCAGCTGATGAGCCCACGGGGGCAGTGTCACGTCCTCTCAGTTGCCTCAGCCAGCCAATCAGCTCCAAGCAGCTGATGAGCCCATGGGGGCAGTGTCACATCCTCTCAGTTGCCTCAGCCAGCCAAACAGCTCCAAGCAGCTGATGAGCCCATGGGGGCAGTGTCACGTCCTCTCAGTTACTTCAGCCAGCCAATCAACTCCAAGCAGCTGATGAGCCCATGGGGGCAGTGTCATGTCCTCTCAGTTGCTTCAGCCAGCCAATCAGCTCCAAGCAGCTGATGAGCCCATGGGGGCAGTGTCACGTCCTCTCAGATGCCTCAGCCAGCCAAACAGCTCCAAGCAGCTGATGAGCCCATGGGGGCAGTGTCACGTCCTCTCAGTTGCCTCAGCCAGCCAATCAGCTCCAAGCAGCTGATGAGCCCATGGGGGCAGTGTCACGTCCTCTCAGTTGCCTCAGCCAGCCAATCAGCTCCAAGCAGCTGATGAGCCCATGGGGGCAGTGTCAGCACAGAAGCCAGAGCCTAGTGCTCCTTTAATGAATTTATGCTACTGAAGCATTTAATCATTGTACAAACAAAAGCAAATATGAAAACATAAAACATAACTGAGTTTCTAATCCAAATATTATAGGTTTGTTTTTAAACAGTTTTAGAAGCTCAGTCGTAACAGTTGCTATTTTCTTTTCCTGACATGCTCATAACACACATTGTGGCCATATATGTTGCGTGGTGATTCTTATATTCATGTGCAAAGATGACCTTAAAATATAAATATTTCAACATGCATATTTCTTTGCATTAACTAGAAATTGGGATTAAATTGGAATAATTTCAAAGTTTGACAACAACTGGCTGTACAGTTTAATTACAAACATAACGAGTCAGTAGCAAGGCTATTAACAGTTAAGTAACATGCAAGAAACATCTTTAATACCTAGGAACTGATGTCATCAACAAGTGGAGAAATGAAAGACCAGTTTAACAGCGTAAGTAGGACATGGGGAATTATCACAGAAACAGGAAATAGACAATGCTGAAAATGCAACATCACGATATGTCTGTGAGCCATCAACAGCTGACTTAACATGAGCGTTTCATCGGCTGTACAACCCAAATGTCTTCGGTTACCAACAGAGAACTGTATCACACCTTGGTTCTGACCAGAAAAGGTTCCGGTTGGAACAAAGGCAACTATCTCCAGGGTTTGTTCGGCCTATTTGTTTCAATATGGCGCCACTCTTCCCAATCTTCTCTCATCATGGTTTGGGTTAATTATATCACGTCGATACCCACCAATGTCAGGAACCACAAACAATCAACCAGGTTTGACCTTGAAAAATCAAAAGGGCCATCTTGTGGATGTTGGTTAAGAACACTGCTCTGGTTAATACCACAGCTAGCAACACTCCAGTCGTAACTAGTGGACAGGACAGTAGGGTCAATGAAACACAGAGATGCCGAAGACGGACACGTGTTGTGCAATAGATAGGAAGTCAGAGGAGGAGGTAAGATCATGGCAATTGTCACCCACAGGATGCCACCTAAAGCAGTTTTCTCTTGAAGTCAAATCCTAATTAAACTACTAGGCTATTCAAAGGCTAGTTGTCAGCTGTGTTGTCTGAGGATTTCAAACTGACATAGAACCTTACAATTTGACTTTTTCAGTGAGCCATTAGTACCTGTATTCTACCTCGTCCAATGGATTCCAATACTCTACTACTACAACACTGTGACATGCATGTCCTGATATCTTGACATTTGGACTGCTAATACAATGTTCTTCAGAAACATTTCCCAACAATATTTCGTTCACTGAATAAAGTTCTTAGGGGAATAATTTAGATATATTCTGTCTTGACAAAGTAGAGTTAATTAATGCCTTTATTTACTGTAAAGGCAATGTTTCGGTATTGTTCTTATACCGTTGTCATTGCAAACATCGCCTTTACAGTAAATAAAGAAGTTATCCATAGGTTATCTCTACTTTGTCATCCGTCAACTTCAAAGTTATACCTATCAAACAGTTCATATTCTGTCTTGATGGAATTTCCCAAACAATCATTTCATAGAATTCTGTTCACCGATAATTTCATAAAAACATTATCAAATTATTTGGAACTAAGAAATATCTGGACTGAAATAATACCATTTGCTGAAACACACAAGCAGGAAAATATACCTTTTATGGATATGATATAGTTAATGTTTCTACATAACAATATTATGTCAAATCATATCTCATTGTTGCAGGTTTACCTGTCAACTTGTCAAACTGCTGAAATGTCATTTACCCACCACGCCCACTGATTCTCTGTTGAGGTAAACCACTTGTTGTTGAATACGTTGATGAGTCATCTCAAGTTGCGGAAACAATTGAGAACAGAGAGTAGTCCAGTGTTGAGCAGTGTCTGCGAGGTGCAGCTTGAAGAAACAATCACAGCAGGGGTAGAGAAGAGGGCGGGGCACCCTTGAGGAGAAGGCGGGGCCACTAGGCGGAGAGTCCAGTGGAGGATGGGCGTGTCCAGAGTCAATCAGCTGCACGTTTTCACCATTGGAAAATTGAAGACCTGTTCATATCAATGTGGCTCATGCTTGTCACTGATACACATTGGCTGACAAACATGAACTTAAATGGCAGGATCTGTCACCATAGCTGCCAATTTTCCCAGTTTAGTATTTTCCAACAATCTTCTTTAACTGACAACAAAGCCAGACGATATGAATCGACTACAATACAATACAGCCATGTGATTCCGAAACTCAGTTCATAATTTTAAAGTTTGTTTCTATCTCGACTTAAGCAACTTTCAATAATACTGTGGAGTGTCTCAATTGAACAAATGCAACCCTATAAATATGATGATATACCAGTCGATAAACATGAAGCATTTATAGCTGACGGTGTAAGGCTAAATAATGACCCTCTCTTTATCAGTGTCTATGAAAATTGAAACCTTGTGATATTTTTATGTAGATTGGCATATTCTTAACAGGAATTAAGGACAAAAGTTGCAAATTCGTAACAAAAACATTAAAAAAATGGGACAGTTGGCAGCTATTTGTCACGAATCAAACCTGAAAGTCCACGACGAGCCATGACAAACTTGAAACAGCAAAGGGTTGAAACTGTGGGTATTTCACAGCAAGCCTATTTCCACAGCTTGTTCACAACGCCGGTGTCACACATACATAGGCTACACACCCTTTTACATCACGTCCCAACCCATACTGACGAGGCATGTCAAAGAACGACACAGCTCAACCTGACAACAACGACAGCTTGTTCCTTCACAAGTCCTCCGGAGGCCATTGCTACCTAAGCAGTTGAACACAGCGTGACATGGGCATTGTGGTTCAGACAGAGGTTGTCCTCCCGAGGGTGTCACCAAGATGAACAGCCATGCCCAGTCACGGATCCAGCAGTGGGTGGGCGTGTCTGTCCCTGACGGTGGCTCACCCATCCTCTTCTTCTGGGTAGGGGATATCTGGCTCAGCATCGACTGGTGGGGTTCCGTCTCTGGATGTGCTGCTTTGCTCGGGGGGTGGGGAGCTGCAATAGAGGTCGGAGATCAGTGGTTAATAAATGAACTTGATACTGACCAGTTGAACCTAGAAGGGTCTTGAACTAAAATTTGTATTACAAAATAATCACAATAACTGTTAAACAATAAATAAAAAAATAGTATGACAAAGAGATAAGTGAATTTTATTTATGAATTACGTTTTTCAAAACACAATAACTGAGGTCTCTTCCAACATTTTCTAATAAATTCATATCAGGAGACTGAGTGAATGTTGTTTTACGCCACACTGCCTCGTACCACGACGCAATCTTAGCACTAGGACTATCACAACTCCCATACTCTAACACAGACTTACAACCACCATGGTGTTATGACTGCAATCTTAGCACTAAGACTATCCCAACTCCCATACTCTAACACAGACTTATGACCACCATGGTGTTATGACTGCAATCTTAGCACTAAGACTATCACAACTCCCATACTCTAACACAGACTTACGACCACCATGGTGTTATGACTGCCTTGTGGAAGAGGTCCAAGGCTGGAGCAGATACCCCAGTGGTTGATGACATGAAGACTCAAAATGAATACCCAAATAACAATTGCATGTCAAGCCAATCAGAAGCCCATTCAACAAAGTGATTTCAGCACTAAGGTGATCATAACTCCCATCATTTAACATAAACTTGCCATAGATGTATCTTAAGTGATCTTAACGCTAAGGTGATCACAACTCCCACAGACTTAGTGACATTACTAAGGTCGCTGTATGACGATTGTAAGAAACTGATTCCTATTGTCACTGCCTCTTATGGGAGGTGAAATGGGGTTTAATGTCACATCAAAGATTATTGCACTTATGTAACAATGTGCATGCACGTGTGTGTGTCTGTGTGTGTCTGTGTGTGTGTGTGTGTGTGTGTGTGTGTGTGTGTGTGTGTGTGTGGCTGCTTGTACTAGTCTGGACTAATGCTGGTTTCATAGTTTTCAGCCCACTGAGATACCATGCTACAGTTTAACAATATTACCCCACTCAGACACAGAATACTGACTCCAAGCTGACCTGTCCTTGTCCCTTAATGCCAAGCGCAAGGCAGGGTAACAACAATTACTTTTAATCTTTTAATGTATTTTGGTATGACACGACCGGGGATCGAACCCACGACCTTCCGCTCTCCGGGCAGACGCTCTACCATGAGACCAGGGAGGCAGTCTCTGCCTCTTATGACAGAGATGGAAAGAGGCAACTTACACAAAGATGGGGAACAAAGCATATGGGCAAAGTTGATGTGACTAAGCAAAAGAATCCACTATAAGCAATATGACATTTAGCTGACGTATGTAGAGTAGATTGTATAAGCGAAGGTGCTGCAGACAACTAACGTCACACTTGTGAAAAAATACATGACACAGAGAACAGGAAACACAGCATCGTGGGTTTAGCATACAGGCCCACATTCCACCAAGCGATCATAGTGCTACAACTGTCGTAAGCTGATGTTAAAGCATGGGAGTTACAATCATCTTAGCGCTAAGATTGGTTTGTGTAACCTATCCCAGGGCTACATTTAACAGTCATCTCAGCACTACGACCGCACAGCAAACTGCGGCGCCTTTAACGACTGGGGCCTCAACACTAAGTAAGTATAGTGAGTGAGTGAACTGAGGCCCAAAGCTGACTTGAGCAGTTTTTTAGTCACATCATCATCATCATCATCATGGTGCATCAGCTTAACGTTGGAAGAAGGCCGAAAGTGACACAGGTCATAAACGGAAGCCCTTTAGTGAATGTAGGAATCAAGGATATGGTACTGACAACCCAAGGATCATAATCTGATTATCACGGGTATATCTGGGATTACAACACACAAGCCAAATCATCGAGCTTGTCCTCCCATCCATTAAATCCACTCTCACGACCAGCATCGGTTGCTGGGGCCCTATTCTAACCCGGAATCTTTACAAGTTACTGGGGTACTGTTAGTAGAAGGAGATCACACAATTGGGATCGGATAACATGCATCAACCAAGTCAGCGAGTCTGACCACCCGATCCCGTTATTCGACTCTTACAACAAGCATAGATTGCTAAAGACCTATTCTCTACCCATATCTTCACGAGGATGTAATATTAGTAGAAGGCTACAGAGATCTACACTAGGAGAAAGGCATGAAACAAGCCAGGCTACATGTTGTATATGCAGGATGTACCTTCATCTCATTAGCATTGACACGATGGTTGGATCTCTGAAAGCACCAATCACAGCATGCCAGAATCACAAGACAACAAGCAGAAATCACATTCTAGAGTCAGTCACAGCATACAATTTAGTTCTAAACAAAATCAAATGCAGAGATGCCACCCAGAAATTGAAGAAATTCGGAGTACCTGGGACAACTGGGGTGTGAAACAAACTGTTACGCTTTGATGATTTCAACATCTTTTGTATTGCATTTATCCCTCAAACCCAAGTTAAAACTGGTGATTATGTGTGATTATAACATGGTTGTATATGTGACAATGCAGTGAGGTCAATAACCAGGCTAAATCACTGGTTGTTTTGTCTTACAAAATTTGTAATACATGTCACTTGGAGTATTGGCAGAATTTGGTCAAAAACATCCTAAAGAATCCATCGAAATCATAATGGATGGTATCTCTGGTAACGTGTCAAGGCTCACAAGTGCAGGTGAGACTGTTAATGTACAAGACTGTATCACTAACACAGGACACTCATTCAGTGGATCACAGCATCTCTGGTAACGTGTCTAGGCCCACAAGTGCAGGTGAGACTGTTAATGTACAAGACTGTATCACTAACACAGGACACTCATTCAGTGGATCACAGCATCTCTGGTAACGTGTCTAGGCTCACAAGTGCAGGTGAGACTGTTAATGTACAAGACTGTATCACTAACACAGGACACTCATTCAGTGTATCACAGCATCTCTGGTAACGTGTCTAGGCTCACAAGTGCAGGTGAGACTGTTAATGTACAAGACTGTATCACTAACACAGGACACTCATTCAGTGGATCACAGCATCTCTGGTAACGTGTCAAGGCTCACAAGTGCAGGTGAGACTGTTAAGAATCTAGAAGGTGCACTCCCTTAACTGAACAGACCACTACAAAGAACAAACAATCATTACAATTATTGTTCAAGGGTTCAAATGCTGATTGATGGATTTTCTAAAAAGGCCAAAACATACTATTCTACATTTCCTGACACAGGTTCTTAAGGACTTCAGTGTTGAATGTTTGGAATAGACCTGGAAGACAGGTCAATCATGTGTGAATTCTACGAGGCCTTGATGTCACTTTCTCCAAACACTGATTACAAAACGTATGTCTGAAGGCATTTATTTGTATTTTCATACCCTTCGTCCCAACCAACAGCTTGAGCAAGTAGGATTAAGAACTGGAGCCAAAAGGTTTAAGAGTTACCTGATTCCTCCGTCTAATTATGGCTTTAATTCGAACTTTCTTTTAATTTTATTTTGACCACTGACCCATGGTTTGAAGGAATAAAATCTGAAAGAAATGTCCGACTTGGTTATATTTCACACATCAAACAGAGAAAACTTACAACATACTGGTCCTAGCAAACATTCTTGGGTACATTATGTTGAAATGCTCAGGAAAGGTTTTAGCTGTGCAACAGACTACCATGTCTAAGACAATATTTATGACACAGTATGCACCGAAAATAAAGGCAGGAAATTACAGAGCACAATACAGTTCACAAAACCACATCAAACTGTGACGACGGTGAAATGCACACCCATCAATAGCAGGCATCAATGAATGACAGCTTGGCACACCAGTTACCTACCCTAATTGCATGCACAAGCTGCCATATATCTCTGTTAGCATGAAGTGAAGAAAACAGATACATTGTAGAACATGGTTAAATTCAAACAGGACTTTAGGTTCAGATTTCAATTGGTTATAAACCTTTTGACACCAGATTTCACATTTAAAGATGTCCCTACACAAGATCATATTACAATGTACAACAGTGCAAATCAATGTAACACATTACGGCAAGCAGTTGTGTCCTGTAGAACTTCAATCAGTTCAACTTATTTATGTTTGGCTCTGATCACTTCGACATTCAGTTGCCATGAGAACCAATTGTGTTTATTTTGTAAGCCTGGGGTACTTCCTACTAAAGTAAGGTTCCAACTACCGTATTTGCCATAGTAAGCCCCTGACCAACTTCTACACCTATCTGTTAGTAAGCTTTACAAGCACCCCAAGAAGACCAAAAGTGACAGTGCCTATTTTCTGGTGTATATGACATGATACCCAACAGACAACAGCAGCTCAGAAGGGCTTTATAATTACAATGGGATTAATATTGACAAAGATTTAGTTTCATCAACATTTGAACTACTGCTCGATCTCAGTAACCTTTTGTGTTGTCTTACTAAGCACCCACCACCTTTGTCCATTTTCTAAGCACCACGGAGCTCATTACGGGGAATACATTAGGTTCCAAGGGTATGTTATGTCAGTAAAGGGTGCACTCCATTCCCATGCCCGGCATGGGTTGACGTAAACAACCTACCTATCTGCTGCATCAGCGGACAACTGTCGACCCTCCTTCTCCGTCTTCCTCTGATAGTGAGACCTGAAACAAGGCACAGCAGCATGGTAGTAGTAGTAATAATAATAATAATAATAATAAGATCCTGGCATGCCAAGGGACACAACTTTTCACAGGACCTTAGACCACTAGGCTACCATAACAATCTGGGCTTCAAACCATGACCAGCAGATCCTGGCATGCCAAGGGACACAACTTTTCACAGGACCTTAGACCACTGGGCTACCATAACAATCTGGGCTTCAAACCATGACCAGCAGATCCTGGCATGCCAAGGGACACAACTTTTCACAGGACCTTAGACCACTGGGCCACCATACTGGAGGTGAAGACACACCTGTATCTCTGCTGGATGATCACGGACTGGTTGCGGCCCTTCTTCAGTCTCTCCGGTCCTTGTCGCTGCAGGCCAGCCGCAGGGTCTCGGTTCTTCTTGAGACGTTTCTGTGCGTAGTAACTCCGGAACTGATTCTGGATCAACACTGCTGCCTGGGTCATCTTCTTGAAGTATGCATACTGAAATATACAGAGTGAGTGAGTGAGTTGGGTTTAACGCTGCTTTGTGCACTATTTTAGTTGTATCACTGAAAGTAACATGGCAGAAAAAATCAAACCACGTAGGCGGTCTCCGGGCAGATGCTCTATCCTATAGACCACGTAGGCAGTCTCCGGGCAGATGCTCTATCCACTAGACCACTCAGGCAGTCTCCGGGCAGATGCTCTATCCTATAGACCACGTAGGCAGTGTCCGGGCAGATGCTCTATCCACTAGACCACATAGGCAGTCTCCGGGCAGATGCTCGATCCACTAGACCACATAGGCAGTCTCCGGGCAGATGCTCGATCCACTAGACCATGTCATCAGTCCTTACCAACATGAGAGAGTGTCAGATAATTTTCTAACAATATACTCTGATACAGGAGTGATAACTAGAACTGACAAATTCACCGAAGGTTCACGGCAGAGCAATACTTTGTGCCAGGAGTCCGCCAGTACCTGTTTGTATCGCCGATAGTAGCTCTGGATCAAGATGGCGGCTTCTATCTCCTTCTGTCGCTGCTGCTGCAGTTGTTGTTTATCCCGATACAGCCGATACGCATTCTGGATCACCTTGGCAGCCTCGTACAGCTTTCTCTGTTCCTGATCTGAATAGAGAGAAGGATACTTATGAAGAGGTAGAAGAAGATTATTGTTAAATAATTCCAGCCTTATCAGTGCGATCTCTTGACAACCAAGTCTGAATGACTAAGTCAGTGGTTGATAATAGGATCATTATATATTCAGGGTACATCGTAACCACCCAATCATAATATGGAACTACTCTATCCTGGAATCTCTACAGAAAGACAAACAGTTTCAGTTTCATGTTGTTTAACACTGCACTCAGCAATATTCCAGCCATAAGACTGCGGTCTGTAAATAATCATGTCTGGACCAGACAATCCAGTGATTGACATGAACATCGATCCACGCAATTGGGATCGATGACATGCATCAACCAAGTCAGCGAGCCTGACCACCTGATCACGTTAGTCGCCTCTTACGACAAGCGTAGTCGCCTTTCACAGCAAGCATGGGTTGCTGAAGACCTATTCTACCCTGGATCTTCACGGGTCAGAACGACAAACATGGGAGGCTGTGGACCTTCTCTGTCCTGGAATCTCCACAGGGGTTGGCAACCGTGTATAGGGAAGTGTGGACCCTACCTGAGAGTGTGAGTTGGGAAAAGTCCTTCTCCATGTACGTGGCTGGCGCGTTGAAGTACTCGGTGAAGTCAGCAGTGGTGGGGGGCGGGGAGTCCAGAGTGAAACTGTAGGAACTGTAGGGGCTGTAGGGGCTGGGCAGACAGGTAGAGTCCGGGCTCAGGGACGAGGCAGGGGTGCCCAGGTCTGTGTACCTGCAATACAAAAGTCGGGAATACAGTGATGGGAGTGTTAGGTTGCTTTGTCATCATTCAAGTCACATCCAGTCCATGTATCATGATGTATCTGGCCTACAAAAGTGTATACCTGTACTCATCAAAGGCCAGACTATCTGTCATGGGTGTTGAGATTCCAGAATCATCCCCAAAGGATGAGGTGGGAGGTGAGCCTTGAGACGGGGCCGAGCTGTAGGACTCACTCCGAGCTCGACTGCTCACTCCACACTCTTCCTCCTTGGCAGGAGACAGCTTGATACGCTCCGGCATGGCTGCGATGATCTGGTTGGCGAGGGTTACCATTTGGTTCTTGCCTTCATGATCCCCACCTGGAACAATTTGGTACAGAATTTGTATAACGCCACACTCAGCAATACTCCAGGTATATGTATTTGTGTGTTTTTAGCCAGAAGTTTTTACATTTGGAAACAAAGGCTTTAGCCTATACTCAACAACACCTACAAATATGAAAACACATGATTTTTATCTTCTAATTTTTCACATCTCAAACAAGTTCAGCTAATACTGCTTGAGTTTAACACTGCTTTGAACAGCATTTCAGTCATACCAGGGAGTGTCAGCTTGATGTGGGAGGGAGCCCCAGGTGACAAAGGTCATAGATGTTGACCACGTCGGTGAAACCCAGGAGCATTGTTAAGGTGCTGACAAACCCAGAAACATAATAGGGCAAACCAGGATTCAAACCCACAACAGAGTTAAGCTTAAACAATACAGTCTTCCTTTAATGCGTAACATTTTTAGATTCAAAAGCAACTCATTAAAGCATGGTGTTTATGTGTGTGTTATGGTGTCTAACCTTCACCAGATGCTACAGCAGCGGCGGCGGCAGCAGCAGCAGCAGCAACAGCTGCCTTGTGTTCCGCCTCCTCGTCAGATGAGATCTTTTCTACATCAATGAAAGGGCTGTCACTCCGCACCGATGATACCTCATCTACAGAGGTACGGAGCTTGCATTATAGACATTACTCATACAGACACTCAACACTTATTACACGACTAAAGAGCAGATCAAATTGCAAATTCAAACATGGCAAATGAAACATTCATCCACAATGTTAAGAATCAATGAGGTTGGTTGGTTGGTTTGTTGTTTAACGCTGCACTCAGCAATATTCCAGCGTTATGACAACAGTCTATAAATAATCGAGTCTGGACCAGACAATCCAGTGATTGACAACATGAGGAATCAATGATGGGTCTCTTCCATGCACAACATGTTTCATCAGCTCTTGCTGAAATAATAGTAGATATATTTATACTATAACCATGACATGTACCATTGAAAATCACCAATACAAACTTCCAAGACCTTTTTGAGGCCTTGTTTAAGGTATTGTTGAAATGACACACAAATTCGATCATTATCAAGCTTTTAAATCCTGTTACACCCATAAGATCCGGGTTAGAAATGGTCTTCAGCAACCAATGTTTGTCGACAGAAGCGACCGACAGAATCAGACTTGCTGACTTGGTTGTGGCACGTCCTCATATCCCAACTGCATTGATTGAAGTTCATTATGTCAATCACTGGTGTGTCTGGTCCAATGATTACTTACAGACCACCGCCATACGGCTGGTATATTGCTGAGTGAGGCATTAAACAACAAACAGAAAAACAAAAACTGGCAAAATCATGATCCCTGGTTAATTTTCAAGCTGATCAATATCTGCAACATTGCAACACTGTCATACTCCTATTCAACTGACCTGTGTCCATCTGCATGAGGAGACCATCCGTCTCCTTCCCAGACTCCGTCGCTATGGTGTTGAGCAAAGACTCGGTCTGCATGAGAATATCTGGCGATGCCAGATCACGTTGAGCAACTGGTAGCAAGGCAGAGTCCGTCACTGCACTGATTGGATGATCACCAACCAATGACAGATGTGGCTCAGAATTGGCCTCCCGAATTGGCTTCTGAAAAGCGTCATGTTGGGGCGAGGTCTGGTCGTTTGTTGCCCCACTCGGCAATATATCCACCGAATAGCGTTTGCTAAGTTGGCGATGACAGGTGCCAATGACTTGTTCACTGAGTCGCCGGACGAGCTTGGAATCCCCTGGGTAGGGAGGGGGAGGAGGTATGTCGATGTGAAGGTTTTCCTGCTTCTCATCACAAATGTTTTTGTGAGAACTGGGGAATATATGGCAAGGAGTTGGTGACAGGTCACACGCAGTGATAGAGTCCGAGGTTGTGAAAGAAGAAGTTGCGCCAGCAAATGATGCTGTGGATGTGCATGGGGGGAAAGGGGGCGGGGCTTGCAGACGAGCTTGCTCCAACTGCTCGATTTGATTGGCAAGGTTGTGATGTCCCTTGCTTCGGGCAACGGTGAGCGGGAGACGTCCATCCTTGTTACAGATGCTGAGTGGCCCCGTGTTGATATGATACAGCGTCAGTGAAGCATCAATATTTCCTCTTGCACATGCCCACATCTGAAATAGACCAGTGTGAAGGTAAGCAAGAAATTAAAGTGGTTTAGGTCCCGTTCCACAAAGCGATCTAAGCACTCAGGTGATCGTACCTCCCATACAGGCTTACGACAGTTGCAGAGCTAAGATTGTTGGTGGCAAAGCCATCATGTTAAAGTTTAAAGACTGTAGGATTCCTACACTGATTACAGAAGACAACTGAAACATTCCACCCTCCCGTCATTCATTTCAACAAACTACCAGTGAGTACATCTATATGGTCAGCCATGTATCAATACCATGATTACAACTTGCAAAGTACCATCAAACTTTAGCAGACAAGCTGAGGCCCAAAGCATTCAACACTGACATCAGGAACAAACTAGGCTATGTGAGATTGCCTTGCCAAACAACTCCCACATCTGGTAGCCTTTCACAATCGTAAGTAATCGTAGGTGCAATTGTATCTTTAGAACAATGAGTGAGTGAGTGAGTATGGTTTTATGCCGCTTTTAGCAATATTTCAGCAATATCACGGCGGGGGACACCAGAAATGGGCTTCTAACATTGTACCCATGTGAGGAATCGAATCAGGGCCTTCGGGTTGACGAGCAAACACTCTAACCACGACCTATAACCAAATCAACATGAACTGGGAAAGTTTGTATTCTCATTCGGTAATGTTTACAGTTGCTGCCAACTTGGTGCCAAATATCGACCTGTGAGCAGGTCTAGATCAATGATCAAGATAATGCTGCAGTAATCAGCTTCTTTGTTCATTGTGAGCAGGTCTAGATCAATTCCTGCCTATGATCAAGATAATGCTGCAGTAATCAGCTTCTTTGTTCATTGTGAGCAGGTCTAGATCAATTCCTGCCTATGATCAAGATAATGCTGCAGTAATCAGCTTCTTTGTTCATTGTGAGCAGGTCTAGATCAATTCCTGCCTATGATCAAGATAATGCTGCAGTAATTAGCTTCTTTGTTCATAGTGAGCAGGTCTAGATCAATTCCTGCCTATGATCAAGATAATGCTGCAGTAATTAGCTTCTCACCAATGGTGTACAGGCATGGTTGTCCACACTGTGAGCATCAACTTCATATTCTAAAACTAAATTAGAGATGTCAGATCTGTCAAAGAAAGAGAAAACAGTATTATCACTCTGCAATCAATCAATCAATCAATCAATCAATCAATCCTTGTGGGGCCCTGGGTAAGAATAGGTCCCCAGCACATCATCATCATCAGCGGCAGCAGCAGCAGCAGCAACAGCAGCAGAGGCTCCTAAGAGGCTCCCCAACTTTCTTTGGGTGTTCAGGCTCAGTGACCTGGTTGATTGCATGTCGTTGTTCACCAAAGACGTTGGGTGTTGCTCATAATATCAACCACCAGTTTGTCTGGCCCAGACTTAATCAGTCGCAGGCAACAACGACATAGCTGGACATTGTTCACAGCAGCATCAAACATCACAGAACCAAGGACACATAAAACAGCAATGTTCTCACTATATCATGGCAGCCTGGGAATATTCGTGTCTTGGCCCAGCTTACCGGAGGCCAGTAGCACAACCAACAACCCACAGCATCGGGTTATGACAGAACACAATCAGTCAGCTCGCACGCTGTAACTACCAGACCCTCATTGAAGTCGTCTCTTACAACAAGGAAGGGTACGAGGCACCCATTATTTGCGGAATTATGTTCTGGGGACTTTCAAAGAACCAATTCTAAATACATGTTTGTTATTTTCATTCAACTATTCAATCTCCCTGTTGGAAATTAAGCATGGAAGAAAAGGGGTCCCAGTCATAACTACTGCCAAGTTAAAGCTTTAAGGAGAGCCAGGATTCAAACACTATGGAAGCAAACCTCAAGGACACCAGGGCTCCCATTAATTTCCATCACTGATTCCTGTACTGGTGCTACCCACCTCCACCTAACAAGTGAGCTGATGAGTTTGGCGTAGCCAAGGGCCGCCGCAAGATGAAGTAAAGTCAGTCCACCATGGCCAGCCTTGGGGTAAGTCTCCAGTTTCTGCCAGGGTCGACCAGCCAGGTGCTCCACATACTGCACAAGACGACACTCGGTGTTCTCATGGTCAACATTCAGGGCATGCTGGAATAGTGCACAACAAACAAAGTCACAAGACTCGTCTCACTCCCGGACAGATTCTCGTTTCAAACTTGTATCTACATTTATTCTGATACTGTTAAATAGCTGTGTGAAGAAAGGATTGAACTTGTTCCCATCTTAAAGGGAGCCAAGGCTCGAGACAATGGTCAGTCCCAGCAAACTCGATTAAGTTCAGGGTACACTGTTGTAGGGCTGGGATGATACACAACTGTGTGATCAAATACATACCATGATGCTTTGCTCACGATCCGATATATACCATGATACCTTGCTCACGATCCGATATATACCATGATACTTTGCTCACGATCCGATATATACCATGATACCTTGCTCACGATCCGATATATACCATGATACTTTGCTCACGATCCGATATATACCACAATACCTTGCTCACGATCCGATACATACCACGATACTTTGCTCACGATCCGATATATACCACAATACCTTGCTTACGATCTGATACATACCACGATACTTTGCTCACGATCCGATACATACCACGATACTTTGCTCACGATCCAATACATACCATGATACTTTGCTCACGATCCAATACATACCACGATACTTTGCTCACGATCCAATACATACCATGATACTTTGCTCACGACCCGATACATACCACGATACTTTGCTCACAATCCAATACATACCATGATACTTTGCTCACGATCTGATACATACCACGATACTTTGCTCACGATCCGATACATACCACAATACTTTGCTCACGATCCGATACATACCACAATACTTTGCTCACGATCCAATACATACCATGATACTTTGCTCACGACCCGATACATACCACGATACTTTGCTCACGATCCGATACATACCATGATACTTTGCTCACGACCCGATACATACCACGATACTTTGCTCACGATCGGATACATACCATGATACTTTGCTCATGATCCGATACATACCATGATACTTTGCTCTCGATCCCATACATACCATGATACTTTGCTCACGATCTGATACATACCATGATACTTTGCTCACGATCCGATACATACCATGATACTTTGCTCACGATCCGATACATACCACGATACTTGCATGCACTCTCATCTATCATGCTTAAGCCATCTCTTTCAAAGAGTGGAAGGCCAAATACCTGGCACACTGATGATTTACAGTTGGCAGTGTCATAGACAGGGTTTGTCAAGGAAAGCTCACCTGCTTGTCAAGGAAAGCTCACCTGCTTGTCAAGGAAAGCTCACCTGCTTGTCAAGAAAAGCTCACCTGTTTGTCAAGGAAAGCTCACCTGCTTGTCAAGGAAAGCTCACCTGCTTGTCAAGAAAAGCTCACCTGTTTGTCAAGGAAAGCTCACCTGTTTGTCAAGGAAAGCTCACCTGCTTGTCAAGAAAAGCTCACCTGTTTCTCAAGGAAAGCTCACCTGTTTCTCAAGGAAAGCTCTCCTGTTTGTCAAGGAAAGCTCACCTGCTTGTCAAGAAAAGCTCACCTGTTTCTCAAGAAAAGCTCACCTGTTTCTCAAGGAAAGCTCACCTGGTTGTCAAGGAAAGCTCACCTGTTTCTCAAGGAAAGCTCACCTGTTTCTCAAGAAGGCTCAACTGCTTGTCAAGGAAAGCTCACCTGTTTCTCAAGGAAAGCTCACCTGCTTGTCAAGGAAAGCTCACCCGTTTGTCAAGGAAAGCTCACCTGCTTGTCAAGGAAAGTTGTGTTCTTGTCAGCTGGCATGAGCCTCTTCTCCAGTTGTTCCAACCTCTCCACCAGCAGCAGTTTCATCTCCGTCGCTGAAACAAAAACATAGCAAACATTTACACACTTCTACACATGTACCGAGATTGTGAGGCAATACGCGATGTTGCAGCAGTATCATAATGGCACACAAACAGCGAGTGGGTTGGGTTTGATGCCACTTTCTAGTTACTGGTATTCAGTTCCTTCAAAGATGCCAGGGGGCGCTGGGGTAGCCTAGTGGTTAAAGTGTTGCTCGTCACACTAAGACCCAGGTTTGATTCCCCACATGAAGCCCATTTCTGGTGTCCCCCGACGGAATATTGCTGGAAGCGGTGTAAAACCCAACTCACTCACTCACTCAAAGCCCAAAGTGAGGCAGGTCACAGACACAAGGCATTAGTGGAACACCATGAGCACAGGCAGAATAATTTGGCTGAATCTAGGACTGGAACCTTGAATCAGCTGAGGGGACACAACTCTGCAAACTGAGTGAGTTAGTTGGAGTTTACACCACAACTGGCATTATTCCAGCAATATAAGGGCGATATCAGCAATGGGTTGGACACATTGTACCAAGCTGGGGAACAAACCTTGGGCTTCTGATTACTGAGCAAACGCTTTAAAGCAGCCCTTTATTGCCACATTGCAAAGTGAACTGTGACACCTTCGACAAATGAACCACCCGTGTTCCAAAATCAGTGTTCAAAACAAAAGGGGGGCCTCTGGTACTTGAATCTTTTGACTTCTAATATGAGGAAAATCAAAAGTCCCCTTGACTGTCAAGCTTAATTTCCAACACTGCAAAATATACTGAGGTACAACTACTCACAATCCATTGAGAACCATTCGTTGTGAGCTGACTGCGTGCTGTGCTTCTCCCGAGCCTTGTACTCGAACACCTCACTGTTGGAGATGACAAACCCATCGTTACCAGGCCGGCGTCATGTGCTGCAAGACATCATCATCATATGACATCAACGTTCCACGCAATCAGGGTATATTAACACGCAAACAACCAATTCAATGTCTGTCCACCTGCAGCGTCACCAGGCCGGCGTCATGTGCTGCAAGACGTGTGTGTGTGTGTGTGTGTGTGTGTGTGTGTGTGTGTGTGTGTGTGTGTGTGTGTGTGTGTGTGTGTGTGTGTGTGTGTGTGTGTGTGTGTGTGTGGTTTAACACCACACTCAGCAATATTCCAGCTGTACGACTGCTGCCTGTAAACAATCAAGTCTGGGCCCACAATCCCCCTTTAGAAGTGTGAGATACTGACCTGGAGTGAAGCACCGGAGAACCCCTGCCTGTACAAGTGTAGCAGGCACCGTCTTACTGTTGAACACAACAGAGTAGGACGTGGACGTGGAGAACCATGGGCCTGTCACCAGGATCTTTGTGCCACCCTTCCAACATACAACAACACTCAATAACATCTCATCAGCCACTGCCAACACTATCACAGGCATGTCTACCCTAATCATGCTGATTATTGATTATTGATGATAGATAATTTAACAACATTTTGGAGGTACAGTAAAATATGTTTATAACGAATAGGTTATAAGGAACTAAAATCAGTGGCCCCTTTGAGTTTGTTATAACCGTCGTTTACTGCACACCTCACAGCTACCTCAATGTACTTGCTCTCAAATCATAAACTAGAACACATCCCGATAAGATTACTCAGAAGTGGATTTATCATATCTGTCAGCGAGTGAGTTTGGTTTTTACACCGCTTGGAACAGTATTTCAATATTATCACAGAGAGGCAGCTTGGTTTGGGTGGAAATGTGAAACTCTATGCCCCTCACATCTGTGTAGCACCAGTCAGGGGAGAAGTCTGTGATGACGCCCTGAGAGAAGCTGCTGTCTGTGTCAGTCTGTGAGTGAGTGTTGTCTGCTGTCTGCGTGTCTGACGTAGCAGACGTCGATGTTGAAGATTGATGCGACTCTGCCCGTTGCTGCTGTGATTGTTGAGCTTGTTGGTTGCTGAGGCAGTTAGCACAATTGATGAGCGGGACAGAAGTCGGCATTCCGCCACTTGACGTCCCGAGACTTGCATTTGTGTCGGGCAAATCAGGACAGTCATAAAGTTCGGGCAAGTCGAGAAGATAATCAAGATTGAGATCAGTACTGGGAAATGAGGAAAAGCTGCCATCAAGAGTATCACAATTATCAGTCCCCGAATTATCTTTCACTAGTGTTCCCACAGTGTGCGAGCAGTCCCCGCGAATGAGCGAGTCTAATGTATTGTGGAGATTTCGCTGAGTATCTGAGATTGTAGCTGACATTTGATCGAGAAAAAGATCCTTCGAATCCTGCTGGGTGCCTGCCAGCTCCAACAAAGCATCACTTGCAATATTCATCGGAACGGGAGACTTTCTGTTCGAGTCATGCGCATGGAGATTGTGAATATGTTGTGACAATTTATCATCCTGCTTGACACCAGCAAGCACTTGGGGAATGGTTTGGAGTATCTGAGGCTGAGGGAAACGGCCCTGCGTGTCCAGGGTTGCCGCGGTGATGGTGTGAATGGGCGTGGTGAGAGAGTTGTTGATGATGGAGATGGGTGATGTGTTATGTCCGCTGACAAAGATCAGACCGTTACTGCCGTGGAGACTTGCTAGGTTTAGAATGAGAGGAGCAGGAGCTGCAGCTGTGTGGTTCAAGTCTTGAGTGGAGTTGGACGAGGGGGCCGTAGTGGGCGTGATCACCACCTGGCTGGTGTGAAGCTCGGGAGTGGGCGGGGCTACCGACTGGGTGGCGCTGCGTTGGGTGTGGCGCTGCAACATGGACACTAGGCGATTGTGTGCCAGGCTGGCTGTGTTAGGAGGTGATGAGTCCTTGGTGCATTTGGAATGAGGAAAGTTTTTGTCACAGGAAGGAGTGCATTTGTGGGGTTTGGCTTTTCCTGATTTGTCCTGCCGAAGGTTAATCAACTGTTGAACAAAGTCTTCAATTGTTTCTTCAACCTGCAAGAAAAGGAACAATATTGTAACCGTGCAACAAAACCTTTTCTAGGAATATCAACCCTTAGTGATACCCCGAGTCAATTAACACAACGTCAACACAACAATAGTGATTAGACGTTAGTTTGTTACAGGCAAACTGAATATCTGACTAGTTCTTGTTTCATCCCCTTAATGCCAATCACCAGGCAAGGTAACAACAAGTACCATCTCAAGTACACTCAGATACAGCATACTGACTCTGAGCCCACCAGTCCTTGTTTCATTTCTTTGATGCCAAGTGCCAGGCAGGGTAACAACAAGTACCATCTCAAGTACACTCAGATACAGCATACTGACTCTGAGCCCACCAGTCCTTGTTTCATTCCTTTCATGCCGAGTGCCAGGCAGGGTAACAACAAGTACCATCTCAAGTAAACTCAGATACAGCATACTGACTCTGAGCCCACCAGTCCTTGTTTCATTCCTTTGTTGCCGGGTGCCAGGCAGGGTAACAACAAGTACCATCTCAAGTAAACTCAGATACAGCATACTGACTCTGAGCCCACCAATCAATGTTTCATTCCTTTGATGCCGAGTGCCAGGCAGGGTAACAACAAGTACCATTTCAAGTACACTCAGATACAGCATACTGACTCTGAGCCCACCAGTCCTTGTTTCATTTCTGTAATACCAAGTGCTAGGCAAGGAAACAACAAGTACCATCTCAAGTACACTCAGATACAGCATACTGACTCTGAGCCCACCAGTCCTTGTTTCATTCCTATGATGCCGGGTGCCAGGCAAGGAAACAACAAGTACCATCTCAAGTACACTCAGATACGGCATACTGACTCTGAGCCCACCAGTCCTTGTTTCATTCCTATGATGCCGGGTGCCAGGCAGGGAAACAACAAGTACCATCTCAAGTACACTCAGATACAGCATACTGACTCTGAGACCACCAGTTCTTGTTTCATTCCTTTGATGCCGAGTGCTAGGCAAGGAAACAACAAGTACCATCTCAAGTACACTCAGATACAGCATACTGACTCTGAGACCACCAGTTCTTGTTTCATTCCTTTGATGCCGAGTGCTAGGCAGGGTAACAACAAGTACCATCTCAAGTACACTCAGATACAGCATACTGACTCTGAGCCCACCAGTCCTTGTTTCATTCCTTTGATGCAGAGTGCCAGGCAGGGTAACAACAAGTACCATTTCAAGTACACTCAGATACAGCATACTGACTCTGAGCCCACCAATCAAGGTTTCATTCCTTTGATACTGAGTGCCAGGCAGGGTAACACTCTGGTAACACTCTGGTAACACTCTTGGTAAAACGTGGCCAGAACCTTCTCCTCTCTTTGCAGGTGCTCCATCCACTACACCACAGAGGAAGTGCACAGTGAGTGGTAAAGTCGTAGACTGGAGCTTAGGGAGAATCACTCAGTTGGGTTTAACATCTCGTTCAACTGTATTTCAGTTATATTACGGCTTGTCACCTTAATGTGGGAGGAAAACCCAAAGTAATGCAGGTCTTAGTGAATATGGTATTACGCCGCGTTTAGCAATATTCCAGCACTATCACAACGATGGGCTTCACACATTGTACACATGTCGGGAATCAAACCTGGGTCTTCGGTGTGATGAGCGAATGCTTTAACCACTAGACTCCCCGGCCGCCCCGATGCAGGTCTTAGATGTTCACCACTTTAGTGAAAGCTATAAACGTGTGGACAAACCTAGAAACATAATCAGAGTGTATCCAGGATTCAAACCATGGACCACCCATGCCTGTGATGTTAATCAGTATTTCTGGGAATCAGTCAAGTCCTGACAGTAATTACTCTCGTCATCAAGATGAATGCTCTCACCATGTGTTCTTGCTCAGGACCAAGATCCACTCTCCTGCCACACGCCACTACAAGAGACACAGTTACAGCTTCATTTCAAGGAGTATGACTGTTGTTACTACAATATCAACATCTATACAAGGAAAACAACAATGTCGTCAAAACTTTTAATTCTTTCTGTCAGTTTCTGACATCAACAATTGAACTCATGTAAGCTTTCAACATCAGACAATGTCTGACATTGTGTCACCATCGGGTTGCATATTAACTGCCCAAATTATCTCCCTTAGTATCTCCCAGTTTCACAAAGATGGGAATGGTTCCTGGGATACAGGTATTTTGTCTTTTAATTCTTTTAGTATTATGACGTAGCTTCATAGAATATGTATCAGAATTTGTAACTATGTTTATTGGCATATACGCTAGGCGTCGTGCCTCAGTTTGGATCTTACCCTATATAAAACAAGTTGTTTTTCAGTGTCTTGCAATGAACACACAAATAAACAATACACTCTTTCACTGCTTCAAAACATAGTCCAGGGTAATTAACTAATCTTTGTTTCTACTAGTCTGTACAAATGATCTGCTTTACAATTGCCATAGTGAGTGAGTGAGTGAGTGAGTTTGGTTTTACGCCGCTTTTAGCAATATTCCAGCAATATCACGGCGGGGGACACCAGAAATGGGCTTCACACATTGTACCCATGTCAGGATTCGAACCCGGGTCTTCGGTGTGACGAGCGAACGCTTTAACCAATAGGCTACCCAACCACTCCACAATTGCCATGGTAACCACGGCAGTCAACGATAGGAAATGAGTCCTTCCTGAAGTTTATCAGTCTTGGACTAAGAGATAACATTTCAATTAGAATTGGTCTTCAGCAACCCAGGTTAACAGGTGCTCCGACTCGCTGACTTGCTTGATTCATGTCACCATATCCCAAATGCTTAGATTGATGCTCATGATGTCAAACACTGGATTGTCTGGTCCAGATTCGATTATTTTCAGTTTGACATCATACAGCTGGAACATTGATGAGTGTGGCGTTAAACAAGAAAGCTAATTCCGAAGCCCTCTGTCAACTCACACATCGGCCTGAGCTGATCAACAAGTTCCTCCTTGGTCCATTCTTTCTTCTCCATGTCGTAAGATAAAACAGGAATGCTCAGTTTGGTGTTGTCAGGGTAGGGGACATTCAGGTAGTGGACAAGAACGATGTCAGGATTCTGAAACAGGTCAGGCCATACAGGTACACAGGTACAATATATCGCAAATTGTCCATTTCAATATTATTTAAACTAATACAGGTGTGTGGGTTGCGAAACATAATGTAATGTGAGTGTCTTTCCAATAGTCAACTTTCCCTTATGTCTTTGAGCTACAATCGAGCAGCCCCTTTCTTCCAAGATTTCAAAGAGCGTCATATGACTCTTGGTCAGAAGTTGTTTGATCAAGGTTACAACATTCAAGGCCTCCGTAAAGCTTTCAAAATGTTTTAAAAATGTGACACATCAGTGACAAAAATGGTGTATGATGCAATTACCTAATTTGACTTACACCATATCTTTGTGTGTTTTTTTCAGGTTAACACTTGACTTGTCTTTGCATGTATTGGTGACGGGTGCCACCTGTGAAACAAAATACACTCACCTTTTTGCGAAACATGGTATCATCACTATTTGATAGTGATTCATATACACATGCTCGTGACATAGTCGGAATCGTACAATCGACTCTGCTTTTGGTGAATTTCAGGTGAACATGGAAAGGGACCTGTCACTATTATTTACTGAACAGTAAGAAACTACACATTACACCCACCTGGAGCAACCAATAACAGCGTCTATGGAAAGTAGGGAGGATCGCCGAGTGCACATATGAGCCATAGATACACTGAAAACAAACACAATCAGGACTCAATCAATTGAATATCAACAAATTATTCAGGTGTCCACCAACATTTAATTGTTCGCTTGTTGATTAATGCATGACGGCAGTCTGTAAATAATCGAGTCTGGACCAGATAATCCAGTGATTGACATCATGAACATCGATCTACGCAATGGGAATATAAAGACATGCATCAACCAAGCCAGCGAACCTGACCATCTGTTGCCGTTGGTTGCCTCTTCAGACAAGCATAGTTGCCTGTTATGACAAGCATGGGTTGCTGAAGACCTATTCTACCCCAGATCTTCATGGGTCCCAATTACCTGTCAAAAGGGTTGGTGGGTATCAGATACATAGGGTCAGGAACCCATATTGTTCATGAATGGGAGGTCACATGTTTTTTAGAGGGGAGATCAATGGCCAAATGATCCTGTCTGGGTCAGACAATCCGGTGATGATGTTGCGAGTACCGAACCATGCCAGCTGGGCACAATGACACGTCTGAGCCTGACCTCCTGATCAATTCTGGTCAACGCTTACAACCAGCAGAGTGGTGGGATCAATTCAATCCTGGCATCCCAGTAATGTTAAAACAATGGGGAAATTAGGAAATTTGTACAAGCACACAGGAATTTGTACTAGCCCAGAGGCATTTGTAGTAGCCCCGGGTTAGTGGGAAAGTGGGCTAGTATTAATTTCCAACCCTGATGTAACGGACACCTGTCATACAGATAGAATATTGCAGAGTGGGGCGTGAAGCCAGAGTGACAGCACAACGCCCCAGTTGTTCCCCTCACCTCCACCCCCTGCACTTTGAGCTTCATGTGATCCTCCCTGATGGTCTTGCCATCGCGCCGCTTCTTCCAGCAGTAGCCGTCCTTGCGGTACCTCACCTTGTTCCGACTGTACAGCAGCATGGAGCCACTCGGAGGCCTGAAACCATGAACCAATGCTGAACAACTATCCACGTTCCATTTCCCCTTCCCACACTTCACTTGACTCATGCTAGCAGTCCAGCATTAATGTAACACTAAACAAAATTGGCCCTTCTAATGCTAATCAATGGCCCTTCCAAAATTTCACCTGTCTCAAGTTGGCATACCATTTTTAACACTAATACCTGGCTCTTCAAACATTTAACGTGTCTGAAGTTGGCACACAATCTCTAACACTAATCACTGGGCCTTCTAAATTTCACTAATCTAAAGTTGCCACACCATTTCTAACACTAATTATTGCCAGGCCCTTCCAAAATGTCACTGTTTCAACCTAGCATGCCAGTGTTGATTTTCTAATGACTGGCCCATCCAAACTTCTTTTTGGCTCTGGCTAGCAGAGCAGTGTAATTTCTAATGCCCTTCCAAAAAATGTTAATTTGCATCAGATTTGCAAACCAGTGTTAATTTCTAATGCCCTTCCAAAAAATGTTAATTTGCATCAGATTTGCAAACCAGTGTTAATTTCTGATGCTAATGACGCAAACCCTGGAAAGCATTTTAGCATTTAGTTCAAACCCAGCTAGCTGTAACAAACTTCATTTACTTTCGACAAGACGATGAGGGTTAATGTCCAACATTATTGACTTGCCCTTTTAATTTGAACTTGCCTCAGACTAGCAGACTAGTGTCAACTTGTAACATTAATCATGTTAATCACTGGCCTCAGGTTAATGGTCAGTTTACTGGAATCCTTTCATCAATTCCATTAAATAAATGAATATTGAAAATATATAATGTCTATGTTTTAGTATCAAGGGACATGTCAATTCCAACCACAAACTCTACTTTCCATTCATACTGAAAATCCATCTCTTCACCGTGACATTTAATACGACATCAAATAAACATGAGCCTCTGGCAAGCCATATTGCATGCAGATTATACACTGTTATGAGGAATTCACATATAGACAATTATTATTAACATTTTTTCTAAAAAATTGTGCATCATAGATAGAACTATTTCACTGCACCAAATAGCACACATTGAAAATACCTGATTTTGAGTTCTCTGATCTGCCATTCTTTGTGACGATCGAATGCTATCAGCACAGATGCTATCTCCTGAAAACAAATTGTCATTGTTAAAGTCACAATGTCCTCCCTTGATTACTATTTACTGCCAAGTTAAGGGAGGTGGATGGTCCCCTCAATCTCCAACATTCAACAGAATTATCCTGATCAGGGTTAAGACAAGAACCACTAAGGTCTTAACATCAGTGCTGAGTTTTGAACACTGATTCGACTCAAAGAATCTTATTTCCATATGGACACAGTATGTATTGTTCATTTTTGTGTTCCATCATGTCTATTCTTGACAATATCATAACACTGTTGATTCCAATAAAATAGAATGAATTTTCAGAGAAACTTTATTTCCATATGACACATGTATTGTAAATTATGATCCATATTGGAATTTTATTCTTGACAATATCATAACACTGTCCATTCCAATTAGAATCTTTTCTCGTAGAAAAACTATAATGCCTCCATTAGATTTAAAAAGCTGCTACAAACACATCAGATCAGATCCAGTGACTGATATGAATAATGACCCATGCCATCATTGTTTGTTGTTTAACGCCGCACTCAGCAGTATTCCACTATTTGACAGCACCCTTTGAAACAGTGGCATCTGGACCAGACAATCCAGTGATTGATATGAATAATGGCTTATGCCATCATTGTTTGTTGTTTAACGCCATACTCAGCAGTATTCCACTATATGACAGCACCCTTTGAAACAGTGGCATCTGGACCAGACAATCCAGTGACTGATATGAATAATGACCCATGCCTTTGAAACAGTCGCATCTGGACCGGACAATCCTGTGACTGATATGAATAATGACCCATGCCATCATTGTTTGTTGTTTAACGCCACACTCAGCAGTATTCCACTATATGACAGCATGCCTTGAAATAGTTGCCTCTGGACCAGACAATCCAGTGATTGATATGAATAATGACCCATGCCATCATCGTTTGTTGTTTAACGCCATACTCAGCAGTATTCCACTATATGACAGCATCCTTTGAAACAGTGGCATCTGGACCAGACAATCCAGTGATTGATATGAATAATGACCCATGCCTTTGAAACAGTCGCATCTGGACCGGACAATCCTGTGACTGATATGAATAATCGATCTATGCAACTGGGATACAATGACCTGCATCCCTCAAGCCAGCGAGCCTGACCACCCGACCCATGCTTGACCACCTGCTGTACTGCATCGTGCACCCACTGACCTCAGCCTGTGTCCTTATTTCTGATTTGTTTGTTTACACCACACTCAGCTCCATGACTACATCCTAAAGATAATCGAGTCTGGACCAGACAAACCAGTGATTGATATTGTAAGCAGTGATCCACATCGCCGGTGTACAATGAAACACAATCATCCAAGTCACCAAGCCTGCCCACCCATCCCTTGTGGTGGCCTCTTATGACCAGCACAGGTTGCTAGGGACAAGCACATGTTGCTAGGGACCAGCACAGGTTGCTAGGGACAAGCACATGTTGCTAGGGACCAGCACAGGTTGCTAGGGACAAGCACATGTTGCTAGGGACCAGCACAGGTTGCTAGGGACCAGTACAGGTTGCTAGGGACCAGTTCTCACCCAGCAACCCCAGATAATGACCTTTGTGTTCAGTAAAGATGACAAACCAAACACACATTAACATTGATAGGATTAATACAGAAATGTACATCTCACTCCAAGTCACAATCAATAACCTACAGTAAAGCCTACAGAGCGGATCACCTACAGTAAAGCCTACAGAGCTTTTAGCCTACAGAGCAGATGACCTACAGTAAAGCCTACAGAGCGGATCACCTACAGTAAAGCCTACAGAGTGGATCACCTACAGTAAAGCCTACAGAGCGGATCACCTACAGTAAAGCCTACAGAGCGGATCACCTACAGTAAAGCCTACAGAGCTTTTAGCCTACAGAGCAGATGACCTACAGTAAAGCCTACAGAGCGGATCACCTACAGTAAAGCCTACAGAGTGGATCACCTACAGTAAAGCCTACAGAGCGGATCACCTACAGTAAAGCCTACAGAGCGGATCACCTACAGTAAAGCCTACAGAGCTTTTAGCCTACAGAGCAGATGACCTACAGTAAAGCCTACAGAGCGGATCACCTACAGTAAAGCCTACAGAGCGGATCACCTACAGTAAAGCCTACAGAGCTTTTAGCCTACAGAGCAGATGACCTACAGTAAAGCCTACAGAGCGTATCACCTACAGTAAAGCCTACAGAGTGGATCACCTACAGACTGTTCACAGTCAAGCTATTGTTTTTGGTATAAGATGGCAAAAGTACTTGAAAATACACACAGGCCTCAAAGAAACCACCATGAAAGTATGAGAACACACATCATGTATATGAGGCACAAAATGTGTTGTGTTTGGCATAAGATGGCAAAAGTACTTGAAAATACTCCAAGGTTCAAGAAATAAACAGGACTCTTTATGTGCCAGTCAGTTACCACGGCAGTACATCAACGAGTCTGGGACATGGTATATGGGCATGATATATGGGCATGGTATATGGACAGGTATATGGACATGGTATATGGACATGTAGTGATGAAACACTTCAGATGTTGCTGTCATACTTTGTCAGGCACAACAGCACTTGTCCCTCTGACAGACATTGACTGAAATATCAGAAAGCTCCCAAGCAAGTGTACAAAACTATGGCAAATCTAGATTTCTCCTGAAAAAGAAGAGATTTTCTGGAATCCTTTGTCTCATATGTTGCCATGGTTGCAAGACAATTGAAAAAACAAAAAACATCAATATAGACCTAAATGTCAGCGGTAGTAAGCACCCCGGGAGATTGGCAAATTGACAAAGGTAGGGGGGCGCTTATTGAAACCACAAGTTACATTTGTTGCCAGAGACATCGAGACACCCGAAACTTGAAAGAAATGGTATGGATTTTAGATAAATGACTTTGGATAAAAAAAAGAGATAGCTAACCCATGCCCTACCACATACCTAACCCTAAGGATCGTATAGGGGTGCTTGATCGGAAATGGGTACCTAACCCTAAGGATCGTAAAGGGGTGCTTGATCAGAAAGAGGTACCTAACCCTAAGGATCGTATAGGGGTGCTTGATCGTAAAGGGGTACCTAACCCTAATGATCGTAAAGGGGTGCTTAATCGGAAAGGGGTACCTAACCCTAATGATCGTATAGGGGAAATTGATCATAAAGGGGTACCTAACCCTAATGATTGTAAAGGGGTACATGATCGTAAAGGGGTGCCTAACCAATGATCGTAAAGTGGTGCTTGATCTGAAAGAGTTGTAGGTAACCTAACCTACCCGAACACTACGAAACCTGTGAACTAAGAGCCACAATCAAGAGCCTGAGCCAATTAGCGCTAATTAAGCTGGGCCCAGTAAACTGCATTCTTGACAATAACAGTTACTCCTTCACCATTGCTGTAATATACACAAACAAAAAAGGACCTGTTATGTAAATCTATTTCAGGATTATCTATATTCGACCCCAAGTCCGCAGCAAAAGACAGTACAAATTCCCAAATTGGAACAATCTTACAATTTCTTTCCCAATTGGATTGCCAAGGGAACAAACAGAACCTTGTTTGGAATTCCAGATAAATCCTTGCTTTTAGTAGAGCGGGATGCTTAATACCACAAATACAGTATACCTCATGAAAAATACTATTGAGTACAAGGAGACCAAGTATAAAATCGCCTACCTTTCACAATCTTCCATAAAGAAGAAAATATCAGGCCTGTGGTAAGTTGTGTCAGGAGATTGTGTCGGCGCCGCTCAGCCATCTTGGGTCTGCAAGAATGTCCAACAAAATGAGCACAAGTGATTCACGGCCAAAACAAGTTGAAACATAATTACTCCACCACTCTTCATGCTCTGATACCTTGGTAACCAACCAAAACATAAATTTCTTGGAAATTTAGATATAAAGGTCTTAATAAAGACGTCACTTTTCCTGGTTCATGAAACTGGAATAATTACAGAACTGTTACCATGGTTACAATCAAGTGGTAACACAAAGAGACTAATGTCAACAATATTATTGACTTTTACATAAGGTTTTTAGAAAAAAAACAGATGTTAAAGTAATAATCCATGATACAACGAACAGGACAGGATTGGGAGAGGGAGGGCGGGAGGGGAACCAGGGGGGAGAGGGACGAGGTTGTGTGACGTCGGTTCGGCAGGCCTGTACAGCAGCAATGGACTAAAGACAAAGAACTTGATCAATGAATGGAGCATAATGGTTTGGTTTGGTTTGTTGTTTAACGCCGCACTCAGCAATAATCCAGCTATATGACGGCGGTCTGTAAATAATCGAGTCCCAGACAATCCAGTGATTGATATCATGAATGGAGCATAATGAATGCATATGTTACCCAGCTCACAATCACTCAGACTGACTGAAAACAATGAAGGCATCTGGGTCAGTATCTTTGTATTCGTAAGAACATGGCTCACAAAACTTGTATTGTCATCAAGTTTACAACTTGGCATGGTGCAACGATATAGCATACAACTCATCGACTATTAAAGGGATAGTTTCAGTAAAGTGTCTATGTACCTACTTAGTTCTCTCTGTTATGTATAGCAACACTGGTCTAGATGACATGAACCCCTTTTACAATAGTTATTGATCAACAGAATGGTTAACAGGATCAACATTAACTTTCAATAAACATCAGAACCATAAATCCTATCATTATTATATATTATCCATTATTTACAGTACAAGAAAAGTAGCTATACTTCAAGCAGCATGCACTTGGAAATGAGTTTGACAGAAACTCTTCTTTAAATATCAAGTGTTTTACATGGAAATATACTACAGAATAATACCCCAAAATGTACTATGATTAATTATGGATATCAAGACATTACACATGAATTATAATAAATGGATTTTGAGTGAAGAGCATAACATTATAACATTACAGTACAATTGAAGCGCCCTGCAAATCATTACTTAAACAAGACAATCAGAGTTGTCTCCCATACCCCTGGGACAGATTGATTTAGCTAATGACACAGAGGGGAAAACTAACAACATGTACAACAGCCAGGGACATAGTTTATACTTTGATTCTTCAAGCTTCAATATCTACTATATGTGTACGTGACATGGTGGAAAGTCACGTGACCTCAACAACCCACAAACACCTGTCTTTGGACAAAATACTGCTTGCATCCTACACTAACTTAGAACATATTGCCAAACAGAAAGTTTATACAGGTTAGGCAACATAATCATCCTATATGCATAACTGGAGCCCTAAAACTAGGGTCTTTACCATGAAGAACCTTCCCTACCATGTCGTCTGTCAACGCCTACATACCGTGCTGCATGAACCTGGAAGAATGACAGAGTTGTTCCCCTTAGCCCATTGCCAAGACAAATGATACATGCCTAAAGAATTACTCTGGGCAAGATTTCCAGCAATGGGACACCAGTATTAGTTTGAATGGGAGGGATAGGGGCCTTGAACAAATACATTTCCAACAGAAGAAAAGTACTATATACAACACATACTCATAATAAAGGGACGTGTTTTTGTCAGAAATACGGTAGTTGAACACTTAGGTTTGTTTACACTGAAGGGCGTGATGAATAGTGCATGTTGATTAATGATAGCATAGTGCAGTTCTTATGTCGGATGAAATACGGTAATTGTTTAAACTGTTATAGGGCGTGGTCAGTGTGTGAAGGTAGGCATTGATCATACATACAAGAATACAGGAGGCACGCTGCCTGCTTCTTCGCAACGAAAACACCTGCAATGTGCACCAGAGAGCGGCCAAAACAGGTGACATTTTCTGTGAAAGTTAAGAAGTTGCAAATGGCCAAAGGAAGGACAAGGTTTGGAACATGCTTCGTCCCTGTTTTGACAGAATGGCCGCTCTGAGCGGGAAATAAAGACGTTGAGTGAAATATATGAATGAACTTACCTTCAGATGCATGAGCATAATCGTCCTCTCCCTCGATGGAGATGCGACAAGACCGAGGGAGCACGCGTGTTTGACGATGCCAGCCAGAGAGAAATTCGGTGTGTCGCCATTGCCAGCTGACGGAGGAAATGACGGTCTTGACATTAGTAATCTCGCCTGTGATTGGGGCTTTGTCGCTTCCTTCCGGGTGGCTTGGTGCCGGCTGTCTAAACTGCGTTTTTTGGCGGTCGGTGCAATGCCCAGATGCTCTCGGCGTAGCCGGTGGCATTCGAGTGGCTTGGTACCGTCTGGCTAAACTGCGTTTTTGGGCGGTCGGTGCAAAGCCCAGATGCTCTCCGGGTGTCTTCCGAGTGGCTTGGTACCGGCTGTCTAAACTGCGTTTTTTGGCGGTCGGTGCAATGCCCAAATGCTCTCGGCGTAACCGGTGTAGTCACGTGGTGGATTTGCGCGAAAAGTGGAACTAAGTAGAGAAAAATGGAACCACATGTACGAGGAATATAAAAGATATTACCGAAGATGCGAAGAGTATAAAAACCTGCAGACTAGGTGTAAAATATATGGTGACAATTGGAAAGAGAGTTAAAGCTGCATTGAATAGCAAAAACATGAAATAGCCAGAAAGGCAAAAAATAAGTATGCCACGAACGTGCAAGAAGTAAAATAAAAGTAGACAGAATATAAAAAAATAAAATCTTTTGGTTGTAGAGATGTGAAATGAAAGACAAGACAAGACAAGACAAGACAAGAGAAGACGAGTAAATTTAATTGAGAATATTTGTAACTTCATCGTGTTCGAAAGCGAAGCCGTAACTAAGGGGCGTAAAAGCGGGGCCGAAGCGGGGTAAAAGCGGGGCCCGGGTAATGGAGCCGAAAGAAGGGAAAGGGAGAAAAGCGATTAGTCGGCCGATGAAAAGAGAGCGATTCGATTGGCTCGGGTTGAGGGTTGAGAGTTGAGTACGGGGTTCATGTAGTATGTAAGAAGTCCCTTGAAAAAAGAGTTCCTATTAAAAAGGGGGTTTGCACCCAGTCAGGGTGTCCCCGAGCCAAAGCAAGCGGTGCCAAGAGACCGACGACTAAACCTGGAGGCACAAGCACTTCCGAAAGGACCGAAAAGAAGCCCGAAGTTGATTTCCAGACGGGTGTGAAATGTCTGGAAAACACCCTTTCTATTAATAAACGTTCGGATATAACGCGAGATTAATAAGATGACTGGTGGCGACATTAGGGCTGTGAAACAACACGTTCTGGCTTATGTGCCACAGGATCGTTTGTCTGGCCATGGAATAATTTCCTTGGAGGTTATAACCTCGAAGCATGCTCTCTTAACCACCGGTGCAGGTTTGCGTCCTGGGGCCTCCAATTGAATAGCATAGGTACGATGCACGTTGCATGATATTTCAAGTTTTTTAAATACGCCAAAGATGCCTAAACCACAAAGACAGATGCTATCGATTGATTTGAAAGCAGAAAGAGCAACACTGTTTGCTGGATATGAGTAATTTTTCTGGAATGTTATATGTTATATTTACATAGGCCTTACCACATCTCAGGGCACTTTTTGAAGTATAAATAAAAAAATACGTTTCGTTGTTGTCATGGCAACCGTTGTTAGATATAATGCGAAAGCCATGAAACATGTGGACAGTGCTTGACTATGTGCTGCATTTGCTACAGGAAAGCTGTTGGATGTTACGGATGGCCCTACCATGATGTTGAAATAGCGTGTTACTGATTAAAGACAGTTTCCTCTGAGAACGTAACATTGAAACACCTTGCTGTGTAGCGGTTCCGCGTTGTGGCTTCAGGCCACAGTTGCCTTGTGAACTTGTGTTAAAGAAGAGGCTTCAGGCCACGGTTGCCTTGTGAACTTGTGTTAAAGAAGAGGTTTCAGGCCACAGTTGCCTTGTGAACTTGTGTTAAAGAAGAGGCTTCAGGCCACGGTTGCCTTGTGAACTTGTATTAAAGAAGAGGCTTCAGGCCACGGTTGCCTTGTGAACTTGTGTTAAAGAAGAGGCTTCAGGCCACAGTTGCCTTGTGAACTTGTATTAAAGAAGAGGCTTCAGGCCACGGTTGCCTTGTGAACTTGTATTAAAGAAGAGGCTTCAGGCCACGGTTGCCTTGTGAACTTGTATTAAAGAAGAGGTGACTAAAACTCATACAGTATCGGTTAGGGAGACTGAACGGCTTTTGCTGGATAATGTTGCACAATGTTGAACAATGTTGCACAATGTTGCACATGATATTCATCATAGCTACTAAAGTTTCATCTGTTATCAGATGATTGTCAGCTGGGAAAGGCATAAGTGTACTGGCCCGGAACATCCATACACACGTCCACACGAGACAGGTGATTGTGCGGCGTCTCTCCTGTGTCTGAGAGACCTTTTGTAGACAGACAATACTAAAAATGGCCCGGGCCTGTCCTTGTCGTAACAGGGGTTGTGGATAGGACTGAACTGAGTGAAGCGGCAGAAAAGTATCTGAAAAATAGCCGTTCACCGAAACCAACTTGAATACTGCGGCTTCAAGCCTAATCCTAGATTTGAAGTCTAGCAAGCAAGCAAGCAAGCAAGCAAGCAAGCAAGCAAATAATTACTTCGGTTTGGCTGATGTCGACTTCCGGTTTGCCTTATTTATGGTTCCGGTGTGGCTTATTTCCGGATACGGTTTGCCTGATTTCCGCATACGGTTTGCCTGATTTTTCCGGTTCCGGTGTGCATTATTTCCGGTTCCGGTGTGCATTATTTCCGGTTCCGGTGTGGCTATTTCCGGTTCAGGTTTGCCTGATTTCCGGTTCCGGTGTGCATTATTTCCGGTTCCGGTCTGTCGGACTTCCGGATCCGGTTTCCCTGATTTCTGGTTCCCGTGGTTCCCATGGTTCCCGTGGTTCAAGGGTGCATTATTTTCGGATCCGGTTTGCCTGATTTCTGGTTCCGGTTTGCCCTATTTCCAGTTCCGGTGTGGCCTATTTCCGGTTCCGGTCTGTCTGACTGACTTCCGGGTCCGGTTTGCCTGATTTCGAGTAACCGTGTGCATTATTTTCGGATCCGGTTTGCCTGATTTTCGGATCCGGTTTGCCTGATTTCTGGTTCCGGTTTGCCCTATTTCCGGTGTGGCTTATTTCCGGTTCCGGTTCCGGTTTGCTTGATTTCCGGTTCCGTCGTGCCTGATCCTGATTTCGGCCAGGCAACTGGTCAGTTTGAGGGGACGTTTGGTGCCCAATGCGTCATTATGTGTAAGTTGTTTCGGAATTGAAGAAGGGCCATATGTTTACTCCTCTTTTACACGTATTAATAATTGAATAACTATTGTTAACATCGACGGCCTGGATTCAAGTAGAATCTTTATTACAAAGGTTCGTGTGTATATAAGTTTAAACTGTGAGAGTGATGCCAATAGTGGCCTTGTAGACACCCTAACAACAAATAATTTAAATTCATGATTTTGATTTGATTTCTGAATCAAATTTAAATGTGTTTTGAAGTGCCAACTTTGTTCATGTTCAATGTATCAAGGCATTTAAAGTTTCTATCAACATTCTATCCTGTTTGCAGGTTTTCATAAAGAGGATAAAATAACACATTCTGTGTTGGCCCAATGGTTCACAGGTCTGAAGTGTCCAGCTGTGCAGGATACGAAGCCTTGCCAGGGCAGCTGGTCTGTGGTGCTGAGTGTGTCTATAGTTCATAAATATATAGTTCAAAACAGGACTAAATCCTAATAATCCATCGAGAATGACTCAGTACCTGTGTCACACTTTGCAAGCATGTGATGTTTGTTCTGATTCTAAGGATCACATCACCCAAACAACAGCTAACCTAAGAAGATTTTTTGGAACATTTGGTCAAAGGATGCCAAAAGGGGTAGCCAAATTAGCCATAGTTCCCAAGCACACTCAAAATGGAGCCCAACCCTTGCCCTGGTTCCCTAACCCTAAGACACAAAATGGAGCCCAACCCTTGCCCTGGTTCCCTAACCCTAAGACACAAAATGGAGCCCAACCCTTGCCCTGGTTCCCTAACCCTAAGACACAAAATGGAGCCCAACCCTTGCCCTGGTTCCCTAACCCTAAGACACAAAATGGAGCCCAACCCATGCCCTGGTTCCCTAACCCTAAGACACAAAATGGAGCCCAACCCTTGCCCTGGTTCCCTAACCCTAAGACACAAAATGGAGCCCAACCCTTGCCCTGGTTCCCTAACCCTAAGACACAAAATGGAGCCCAACCCTTGCCCTGGTTCCCTAACCCTAAGACACAAAATGGAGCCCAACCCTTGCCCTGGTTCCCTAACCCTAAGACACAAAATGGAGCCCAACCCATGCCCTGGTTCCCTAACCCTAAGACACAAAATGGAGCCCAACCCTTGCCCTGGTTCCCTAACCCTAAGACACAAAATGGAGCCCAACCCATGCCCTGACACCGGAACCAGAAATAAGCCAAACCGGAACTGGAAATCAGGCACACTGGAACCGGACATCAGGCACAATGGAAGTGGAATGCAGGCAGGCAGGCAGGCAGGCAGGCAGGCAGGCAGGCAGGCACACCCAGCTCACCTCGCACAGTGTATAGTGAAAACAATAGCAATAGGCATTACATGTATCCAGTATGTACCCTATGAAGATACCAGGACTCACAAGTTCCACAAAGGAGCAGGAAGGGGAGGGGGTTTGGTAGAGGAGGGAGAGGGGGAGCGGTCGTTTCTGTCACCTGGGGTGGGTTGGGGGTGTCATCCCATCCCATGGATCTGGTCTCCAGGGTGAGACACAATGTCATGTCACAGACAGTTACAGTAACAGGCGATCGACAGATACTGGAAGAAAGTCACACTGACCTACTATTGTTATCATTAAATTGCCATACACAACTTTCCTAATTGATGCCCCAAGGATAGCATGACCTTGGGTAAAGAGCGTGGCTTCAAAAGCAAAATGATCGATTTCTGACTAAATCTGAATGCATCCTTCCCATTTACTTGGCTGCTAATTTATTTTATTTTTTTTATTTTTTTTATTTGGGGTGGGGTGGGGTGGGGTGGGGTGGGGGTGGCGGTGGGGGTGGCGGTGGGGGGTGTTTGTTGTTTAACGCCAAACTCAGCAATATTCTAGCGATAGGATGGCGTTCTGTAAATAATCGAGTCTGGACC